TGATGTATTGACTAAGAGACACAAAGAACTCCGTAGTGAGTTTAATAAATACTCTCCCCTAGAAATAAGGAACATGAGCAATAGATTACAGTTTTTGAAATGTAATAGGCAAGTTTCACAAGCATTTTGTGAAGACTGGCTCCTTCATTCATTCACACACGTGTAGAGGGACCGTTCCAAGACTCCAGCAGCAGCCGAAGGGCAAACTCGTACCCCACATATCTCCTCCTGCTCCATAATTCCAAACCTTCTCCCCAGTTCTTCCTTCTTTCTTTGTGCCTCCTGCTGCAGATCACTCTTTTCTTGCTACGTAACAATACTGCTCCCCTTCCTGAGCCCCTTGAAAACGCTTCTGGTTCTTACCGCTCCTCGCCCTTCTTTTTAATTCTTCCCATCTGTTTCTTCAGGAAGAAAACCACCTCATGTATCCCCCTTCCTTCTCTCTAGTCTAAAGTTTTCATGTCCCAACTCTCTCTGGTAACGAGGGGAAAAAAAAAATGTTCCATGCGACTTCGTCCTAAACTATCTGTCTCCTAATTCTCAAAACAAAACAAAATTAAGTAGAAAAGTGAGACATACACTTTTTCGCATGGAACATTTTTTTCCCTGTCTGGCCAATATTTCTTTTTCCCAGTTAAATCCAGAGCAGAATATGTGGACCCCTAGGCACTCAACTGCAAAGACCAACAGATGTGTAGGAAAGATTAACGATGATTTCAAACGTGATGACTTTTTTTTTTCCTTTTTTCTCCTTGTATCAACAAGCTTTTTGGTGTGGAGTCAAAACTATTGAGAAAATGTGTTGCAGTGATTAATGCATTCGCTTTTTAATCCTGCAAAGCTTGGCTTTGTTTCTTGAAAGCCAATACCAGGATTTATATCTCGTCTTATCTAGATCATAAGCTTCTTAGAAGTCCCTTTGTACATACTGTGTGCTCTCAGGCATTGGGCAGATGCTCAGTACATTCTCTCTTAATTTTTGTTGAATAAAAGGAAAACACTAATATTTTTGTTTTTAAGCAGCATTATTGAGGAATAATTTACATACCATTAAATTTAGTCTTTTTCAGTGTATAATGTAATGATTTTCAATAAATTTACAGAGCTGTACACTATCACCACAGTCCAATTTGAGACATTTCCATCACCCCAAAAAGATCACTGTGCCCTTTCGCAATCACTCCTTGTCGTCAGCCCCAGCCCATCACTACTCTCCTTTCTGTCTCTCTGGATTTTCTTCTGGAAATTTCATATAAATAAAATCATACAACATATGATCTTTTGTGGCTGGCTTCTTTCACTTAGCACGTTTTTAGGTTCAGGAAAGGACTGATTTCTTGTTTCCTCAGTACTAATAATCTACAAAATACAATTGGAAAGATAGCACAAGCATTTAAAATTGGATGGTCTCTTTTGTCATAAGATTGTGGCAAATCCAGTTGCTGAATAGAATGGGCCAATCGAAGGATTTGGGACACTGTAGCAGGGAGACACAATGAATGGCAAGAAGAGCTGGCCTTGCAGTTTAACTGGGTTACTGCTGCTACGACCGCTTCCATAGTGACGGCCACTACCGAACTCGTAGGCTTCATGGTAGAAACAGTCCTTACTGGTTGTGGAGCCCTTTCTGTAGGGCAGGTACTATGCTAAACCCTGTGTGTGGGTTCTCCCTTAATCCTCACGAGACTCTGCGAGGAAATTCTTCACATGTTACAGGGGAGGAAACAGATGGAGAGAGTATAACTGAGATTAAAGATGACTCGCCCAAGATCACGTAGTTGTCTAATATCAGACACTAGCGTTTGAAACTAGTTCTTTCAGACTCCAGAGCCTGTTTTCTTAACCTTTATGCTATGCTGTCTAGGGGGAAAAAAACAGCTGTACATTTAAGGATTTAAGAGTGAGTTCCATCTAGAAAATTAATTTTTCCTTGAAGGTAAAAGTTAATGACCTGGGAAATGTTTTTATTTAGAACAGCTCATTATCTGTTAGCAAGCCATTTTTGTTTTTGTTCACAAGACAGTGGATTTTAAGATGTGCCAGGTTAAGCTCCCTCATTTTGGTGATACAAGATGTAAGAATGGGTTATAAATTTATTCCCAAAGAAACCATTGTTCTGACACTTTTGTCGTGTGTGTGTGTGTGTGTGTTCCCTGTTTAATGGGGGCTGTTCCTGTACCTAAGAAAAAACTTCCCAACTTGCCTGTCTTCTTGGAAAACTCCTCCTCATGTTCTAAGATCTCCTCGGTCAGACGCTCTACTCAATATAACAAATAATGGACCACCCTGCGCCCCACTGCAAACATTTACAGATAAGGAGATGATGATAAACAGCACAGGTGCGTGGCTCCCCCTCACCTCATTATTCCTCTGGCCATGCGTTGGGTGTACAGTGTGAAATTACATGACGTGGCATGATGGGCGGGTCTGTTCATCTTCATTCGTGAATGGAATTTTTTTTAGATTGATTAAATTTTTTGTGAAAAAAAGTAATGCATGTCATACTTATGTAATAAAGACTTAAAAGGTTTTTTTTTTTCCCCCTACAGTTAAAAATTTGCCCAGGAGCAAATTGCTCCTTTGGTTTCAACAAGAGGTGAAAATTCAAAAATGGAGAAATCAATAATACAAGGATTATTTCAACATAGGGTGTATAATTTATAATTCTTCTAATTTCAAACTTTTATAAATACTTCCCAGTGTCAAAATGTATGGACACTTTTAAATTTAGGAACTAATCATAGCGTAATGAATTCTTCATTTCCTAGTCAAAATTACCTGTGTTCTCTTTTAGATGAGATCCTCATTAAAGACTTTTTAATTGAATTAAAATTTTAAATTAGAAATACTATGCTTTTTAAGTAAAAGGTTAGGAGCAAGACAGAATGGGGTTCTTTTTTTTTTTTTTTTTAAGACCTTTGGCACTTGTCCAGGGACTGTTTTGTCCCCAAGAGACATTTAGCTGTGTCTGGAGATAGTTTGGGTTGTCACAACCGAGGATGCTATTGGCATCCAGTGGGATAGAGGCCAAGATGTTGCTAAACACCCACAATGCACAGGACGCCTCGCGCCACAGAGAATCCATCCCTCAGCTCAATGATGCCAAGGTTTTAAGGACCCTACCTGAGCTAGTACAGCTCCAGCGGAGAGAGTCTCTTCCACCCGACTCCCTATGTATGTGGTTCGACTCGGAGGCAAAGGCGATATCTGGCTTCCACCTTCCCCGGCGTAAACTGGTTTCCAGCTTCTTAGATCACGTAGACCTGTAATAGAAGCACAGGGTATAAAATGGAGACAAGCGGGGACCGCGAGGCTGTGAGAACATTTTCAAAATCAGTGCGCTCCTCATCTCTCCCTTCTCCATAGGTGTGAAGTGATACTTATTTTTTTTATATACTTATTTTTTATTTCGAATACTCATAGCTCCTATTCAGACCCAGTGGCTTTAATCTTGTCTGTGACCCTGTTTGAAAAATAAGCCTTTGCCACTTAACTGGTTTTGTTTCTTCTCGGTTTAAAGAGACTCGCTTTTTCATAACCATATAGAGTCGTGATGTTTCCAACTTGCTTTCAGCAGCGAGACTCTTGGGAAGATGGAGTCTCATGCGGAGCCACAGCGGGGCAGGCCCCGTGCGTGAGTCAGTCCACGTCAGGCGGCTTTCACCGTCGTCGCCTGCGGAACCTCCGGGCTTCTCTGAGGAGTCTTAAGGTTCCACAGTGTCAAAGTCACTCTCCCCGCCGGGGGCTCGTGATTCTTGCAGCGCTGGCTGAGTCGCCTGCCCGCCCCACCTGCCCTTGCTTGGAGTAGCGCCCTCCAGAGGGTCTGCTCGGGGACGCGTTCTGCACTAGGTCTTTTCAGCGTCGCCTGGCTCCCAGCTGCGTTGTCGCAGCTCTGTGGTCACCAGTCGCAATAGCTGACAAAAACAGTCTTTCCAGTGTAGGAGAAATCGGGGACTTTTTCAGAGGAGCGGCGTGTCTGACAGCTGTTCGGGATGTGACCAGGTCGTCATCATGCCCTCCTCAGTCTCAGGCACACCCGAGTCCTTCCGTCCTTCCTCACAGAGGATCGTTTTTGGTGCCCACGCCATTTCTGTCCCTTCCCTTTGTGGTTCTGCCTTCATACCGGCTGAGTTTCCTGTCAGCTTAAAGCCTAACTGCCCCAGCCCCGACTGCAGCACGGTGGGATTCCAAACGTGTCTGGGAGAATAGAAGTATTATCCTTTTATCCGTTAACAGCTTTGAGTTTTGAATTACACGTGTACACATTCTCTTCCTGAAACGAGGACGCTTAAAAATGGAGTGCCGTGGAAGTTTCCAGACTTAGGAGCAGTTACCGAACGGTCAGAGTGGAAAGCGTGGGCCAGCATTTGGTGGTGCTGAGCAGGCACCTGGGCCTTGGTTCTAGCACGGTTCTAGGAAACACCACCAAGTGTCTGCTGTGCTAACCATCTGGACTTGCTAAAATGGCCTCGTTTGATTATTAGCTTGGCCGAAAGAGTCAAAGCAGAGGAGCCTGACTAGAAGAGGTTACTCCGAGTGAAACCGGACAGTCCCACTGAGGGGTGGGCTACTTTCTTAAGTTACTTATTGCACTGAAATCAGTAGAAAGGCGACCATGTTGAAAAACCAAACCAAAACCCCACTTGCAGTTTTTAAGCAAGCAGCAATATTCTTAGCCATAAAGGTTGTCAGAATATGTTTATATTAGGTATTTTCTCATTATTCCATGCCGTTATCTTTCAAAGCATTTTACCTCTTTTATTTTTTTTTAAATCACAAACGATAGTTGTAGCATGTAATTTCATCCTTTTCAAATATACGTGGTTTCTGTTACATACATGTTACTTATAACAGCGAAATAGCCATACTAAATTAAGATATGCGTACACAATTTTTAAATTAAGAACTTAGTGATTACAATTTCTTTTTGAACTTGTTAGGAGAAATTTTGCCATATAAGAAGGATGTCCTTAATCCGAGTTTCCTGGTTTTTCCTTTAGATGCTGGCCATTGACACTGACACCAAATATACAGGAACAGGAGCTTCGTTTTTTCCCTCTATCCTCGTGATAGAGGAAGTAGCCAAAGTCGACGCGTCTGTGGCTCTGCTCTCTGACATCCAGAACACAGTAATTAATGGGCTGATCAGAAAACATGGAACAGAAGAACGAAAGGCTACCTGTTTGATCGAGCTGGCACCAGAAAAAGTGAGTCGAGTTGAATCGTTGAGATGGATTTCATCTTTTCTAATGTTAGAATATTTCCAGGAGAAAAGTATTTGCAGCGTTTCTCCAGACCACAGTGCAGCACCATTTGTGATTCAAGGAATGCTCAGTAAATTAATGCCATTGGAAAATTACACTCTGCCTCTCATCTGCCACTGGACATTTAGAGAATCATCATGAGACAATAAGATTATTATTTTTTGTCTCAATTGTATTTTGATACCTTCATCGGTGGTTTCATTTACATCGAAATGCCTTTCTCTTGTAATTGTTAGAACGAATTTAATTAAACTTAACATCGAATATGTGTCCTTAAGTCTTTAAACCCGTCTTAGACAAATGGGGTTCATTTTGGAAAGCAATCCTGTCAGAATACCATTACTATTCTGTTAAGTACAGGCTTTTAAAAGTAGCTACACATTTTATTTACAGATGTTTATCTTGTCAGAAGTGAGTATTTCTTATACAGAGTATAAATGCAATTATTTGGAATTTTTTTCCTTCCACGTGTAGATAGGAAGCTTCTGCCTTTCAGAGGCTGGAGCAGGTAGCGATTCATTTACTTTGAAGACCAGAGCTGATAAAAAGGGACATTATTATGTCATCGGTGGGTCGAAGATGTGGGTTAGCAGCGCCGAGTACACAGAGCTCTTCCTGGTGATGGTGAATGTGGACCCTGCCGTCCTAAGTTGGAAAACGAGATTTCTTCCCTTTCCCCCTCATCTTTTCTCTTCGTATCTTTTTCCTACTTCCATTTCTTTTTTAGGACTTTGCCTTAAATGCTTCATTCTTCGCAGTGCTGAAAACATTAGAAAACTGACATCTTTTTATCCTCTTACTAAAATAAATATTGTTCATGTAATTATTTATTATACATGGAGGACTCTTTATTATCTAATACGTTATATAGGAAGATAGTCTTCAATTTGGTAGAATTTCCAATTTTCTACTTAATAATGAAGAATTTAAGGATGTGTTTAGTACAGATAGCTTTAAGAATATTGTATTCAACTGGAAAATAGACACGTAGCAACATAAATACATTTTAGCTTTTGTCTTTTCTCTAATGTAACATTTAATTGAATTAAATTTAAAAATTTTAAAGAATTTAATGAAGTTAAATACAAACCATGGAGTTCTTGCGATCACATGATACTGTACTGTTACTTAATCATTTTAGCCATAGTGGTTTCTGACAAAGGAAAGGAAATGGTAAAGCCCTCGATTTCGAATCTAATGCCCTCTAACTGTTCTGGTGTCGTGTGCACGTGCTGCAGGTCTGAGCCCATCAGTTTTTCCTGCCGACGTTCATTTTTGGTTTTCTGTTTACTTTGAACTCTTCGGAAACAAGGGGTCTTATCACTCCAGGTGGTAATAGCATTTTAAATCTTCTTCTTAGGGGTATAAAGGAATTACCTGCTTCTTTGTGGATCGTGATACCGAGGACCTTCATATCGGGAAAACAGAAAAAATGGGAATCAGAACTTCGTCCACCTGCTCATTAACACTTAAAAATGTGAAGGCGGGTGTCTTAGAAGCTCCAGTGAAAGACTGGTGTGAAATGAGCTGTGCAGGGAGCTGCAGATACGCAAGAAAGGTGTCCACACATTAAGCGTGCGTCGGAGAGGATTTTGTAAGACCCTTGAACTAGGTGAGGTCATGACTAAATGTCTTTTTCACGAGAGGTTGGGCCAAGAATGGAAAGCTTTTTGCCCAGCGGCTGGCCTCAAGAGCCAGAGCTGAGAGTTAATCCTCTTTATACTTTATAAACTTGATACTTGTGAACCAGACATGGCACCAGAGAAAGAAGCATGGGGTCAGTACCCCAAAGGCCACGAGAACGGGGGATGTTGCTCAGTGAGGGCAGGAAACAGCCAGGCAGCACCCCACAGTTTAGAGTTGAGTGTGTTACACGTGAGGAAGAGAAGACTGTGGAATGCTGTGCTCTAGGACTTCACAGAGCTAGAGCAGGCTGTGCTGGGTCATCTGCTCAGGTTCAGACTTGACCCTGTTGCTCACGGTCGAGTACGCGTGCTCATGGGCTGTCTCTATAGCTGTCACTTGAGCCTCACTGCTGTGCCCCAACGGTCTGTCTTCTTCCTGCTTTCTCTTTTCTTTTCCCATTCTGCCTGTTCTCCCTTCTCACTGTCCATGTTATAAAGCTCAGTGTGTCTTTTATTGTTTCCAGTCTAGATTTTTTAAAATTATGAATAAACATTTTGTTGTTTCTTTTCCCTCTCCCTCTCTCTTATGCACATGTGCGTGTACACACACACACACACACACACACACACACACACACCATTTAAGTTTTATGGGGCTAATAGTCTCAACAGAAGAAAGGTTTACTACCCACGCTTTAGCATGTATTTACATGTTTTCCATAATTCCTAATATGTCATCTCATACTATAGCATACAGATAAGAACTGGGAAAAATTCATTCATTTATGTTACTGGCGTATGGGATGAGGATTCCCTTTTCTTAGAGTCACTCATTCATTCAACAAATGTCTGCTAGGCTCTGGAGGATGCAGTAGCGTCCTGTCCGAGAGCTGTGTGGGAAACACTTTAGAGCACGACACAAAGATGTAGCTGATAATTTCCTCAGAGCTTAGGTACAATGCTAGAGTAATATCACACAAATTGGGGGTTTATGTGCATTTAAGAATATCCAATCGAAACGAATTCCGTCAAATTTAATTGAGAACGAACCGCACCTTTTCAATTCAGGTTCCAGAAGCCAGTATCCTGGGACAAATTGGACATGGCTGTAAGTATGCCGTGGGACGCCTCCGTGAAGATGCTGCACGGGTTATCAAATCTTAGCCATCTAACTTGACTCTTCCACAGTGAGGGAGAATTAAAATCTACAAAGAAAAAAATATTGTAAAACCAATGAGTATTTGCAAGCTCGTGAACACAAGATGGCACCCTTTCCTTCCGTGAGATGAAAGAATGGCTTCTGGGATTTCTTTCAAATCTCACTTTGGTCGATTACATAATGTTCTGAAAACCAAACAATGCTTTAGTGGTAACAGTTTCTCTGCTTTGAGACATTAAAATATTGTCCAGTACCTGGACCGATAATTTCTAAAATATATCTTAAATTAAATATGGTATTTTTTAAAATCAACTTTTCGAAGCATGGAATTCATTCTGGAGGAAAATTTTTAAATTTAATAATATTTGACTAGTAAAAGTCTCTATAGATAATGAAATATTTGTTGCTCAGTGTTTCGCTTGTGAAAATCAGGCACTTTTTTTGTGTGCCACTTGAAATAAAATAGCCACAATTAAATAGATGTAGAAGATGAAAACTATTCGATTTTTTACCAGATTTGCCTTTTAGTGTATACTTTTCTATTCGATATCAGTTATTTTTTACTATTAAGAAAATGAATAAAATCTTTGGTTTTATTATAAATTATGTCATTTTTATAGAATATATTTATTTGTGATCAGTATCCAAAATTCAAAACTTAAGAGCTTTTTGATTTTGAAGATGTTATATATACATTAGCTATTGGATTAGTTAAGTGTTGTAATATTACTCTAGATTTTTTTTTTTTGCTGTTAATTTGCTAACAGAATATTCTCAGATCAAAACGTAACGTGTTTCCCACAAAATTAGATAATAGGTTACTAAAGCGAATTGGCTTATTTGTTCTTTCTGAAGTTTTCCTGTGATTCGACTTCATCGTCACTTCAGCTATGGCATGGAAACCACGCATCTCCTTGTTTCCAGGTGTATAAATGATATAGATGTCCTGGCAGTAAAATATACCACCTGGGCTTGAGTCTAATTACTCCGAGTTATCTTATAACCTAATTAAAAGTTAAGATCAGGTAGTAATTCTTTCCTGGTTAATACTGTGAGTGCCTTTTAGAGAAAGATGCACAAAGAACAGTAAACTGAAGTCGTCCTTCCTCAAAACTCTGCAGTCAAAGAGAATTTAGTTTTTCAGTATTTATAGTGAAAACATTTTAGAGATGGGAAAGCCTCTTATAATAACCGATCATTTCAATTTCATGTCAATATAGGATATTCACAGACCATAAATTTTAATTATTGAGGTATAACGACATCATCTTAATCTCATAGCCAAAAGTACAGTGAGCCACCGACTCACTTTAATTTGTTATTTTGGAGTTTTACTGGAGTTTTTTTTTTGTCCTTTAATTTTTAGCATAATATTCTCTTCTCCAGAAAGTTCAAAATAAAAGGCTAAAGGAAAATGTGAACGAACACTAATGAAATATTGATAAGTTTGTGGGCATTTCCCCCAAAAGCTTTAACTATTGATTTTTTTCCCTTTTTCTGAAACCTGTGTAGTTTGACATAATTAGATATGTGATTTAATGGCTACCTGACGTTGAAATTTAGAAACCACTTCTAAGCTTGTATCGTTCAATAGATATGGAGATTGGTTAGCAATGAAACAAGTCAGCGAAAATTGTCACCGCATCCTGGTTTGTTCTTCACGTATATAAATTAACGTCTTGACCAGATGCTCTCTGAGTTGCTCTCAACTCCAGCTCTGCATTAAACTATCTAAAGAGTTTCTAAAACGCCAGCACCGAGGCCCCGCTCGCCCCCTTCACTCCCAAGGTTTGGATTCCGTTGTTAGACCCTCCGCATCCGCCGCATCCGTATTTTTTTACGAAGTTCCCCCACATGGTTCTAACTGCAGCCAGGGTTGAGAAACACTGCTCTTCTGTGTTCTAATGCCCTTTCCACCAAAGCTCTTATTAATCCTGATTACGTACAAAATGGGCGGGAAGATAGAAGGTTCCGGAGTGACCCTCCTCCACATTTCACTTCTAGAGACTAGAGTGAGCTACTCTGCAGTCTTCGAAGCCAGCTCTGAGCAGAGTTTCTGTGGCTCACTTTATGCTTGGGGAATCATCTTAAAGGAAGAGTTTCCTGAAAAGTAATCTGATTATGTAAGCACAGCCAAGCTGGGAGATTTACCTCTGTGCTGGAATTAAATATACTCATTTACTTCTGAAATCACTCAAATTTCTTCCCAATTACCAGAAGTAGAGTTCCACAAGTACAGAGGGTCAAGACTTAACACCCACCAGCCACCTGGGGTCTCTAGTGCTTCCCTCCCCCAACCATTCGATTTGCCTGTAGAAGGACTTTGTAACTTGAATAATTAAAAGCATAAACTTATATAAGAAATTTTGATTTTTTTTTTTTAACAGATGCCAGGACCGGCTCAAGGATGTTTTGACTACACTAATCCGTATATTAAAGAAAGGATACGATTTGGCAAAAGAATATTTGATTTTCAGGTATGTAATTATTAGCATCTGTCTATTGTATTGGGCTCTCCCGTCTTCCTGTTACTGAAGAGATGTGTTAGGGAGCCATGGAGGGACTCCCTCGGGATCATAATGGGAGAGGAGTAGGGGAGGAAGGAATAGGTCTCTGGGTTTGTACTCGTTTATGCTTTGACCTTCTCCAAGGGCACAGCAGTAGTCCTTGAGGCCCAGCTATGGCACGATTCAGGATATCTTGGTGAGAGCTTTAGAGCTGTCTCCTCACTGCTTTGTAAGTTCCAGGACTTGGGGTCTGCAGTCAGACTTCCTAGGTTCATATCCTGCCTGGTTCTTTGTTTTACTAGCCTTAGGCCTTGGACAAGTTTCTTCACCTGTCTAAGCACCAGCTGCTTCATCTGTAAAATAAAGAAAATACTACCTGCCCTCCAGGTTGTCACGTGTTGAACACCGTACCTGAGTCTAACCAGTGCTCAGTAGATGTAGCATTTGTTAGGAATCAGGCCAGAGCAGTAATCCTCAAGATGACACTCCCACACTTCAGCCTCAGAAAAGGCAGTTTGCCGTGGTCAGTGCAGACGAGATGCTCTTAGTCAAGCATGTTTGGTAATACCAGCCTGGTCCCATGGCGTGAATTCTCAGAGCTCCCCAGGCAGTCGGGGGATCCGTCGGTAGCAATACTCAATTTTCCTCTCCGTGTTCCTGTCCTCAGCAGGTCTGACCAGGTTGGGGGAAGCCCGGAGTGGCAGCGTACCAAGCTTACCCCAGCACATTACCTAACAATCTGGAATTACCTCGCGTGTTTGCAAAATCTCCCTTTAAACAGCCCTAGGTTTCACGTGCACTTTCTTATGACATCACCGGCTCTATAGTGCTGCACTATCATCCCATTCTGTGCTAATGACTAGTCATCGTACGAGCATGTTTGGAAGGAGCGTGTGCAGAGGCTGAGCTGTGGGTGTGCATGGTCAGCGCATGGCCTGGAAAGACTCAGCACATCGGGCCTGGCTGGGGTCTGCCACAGCTCATGCTGACGTCAACATCTTACTCAGGGGAACTGAGGCACGTGGAGAGTGAGTTCCCGAGGTTATGCAGCTAGCGAGGAATTACAGGGTTTGGGGTCATGGTTTCTGATCTGACTTTCACTTTGTAATACTGGAGTGCTCTCTCAGAGCCAGCCACCGCTGTACAACAAAGGGGACAGAATGCCAAGACAGTTTGAGGGAGACTTGTGATCTCCTCAGTGTTCTCATGAATATGGGGTGAGGCAGGGCGGGAAGGAAAAGGGGCCACGGGTACTAATAGATAGAATCATGACATTTCTAAAGATGCCTCGTATGGATAATTAAAACTTTTAGAAATTTGATCATGAAAAGCAACATCATTTTACGTATCTGTGTGAAGAGTTCGTTAAAGGGTTTTTTCCCTAACGGCTTTAATCTCATCAGAGTGATTTGTCTTTTGCTTTGCATGCGATCGTCTGTATCCTTCTCTCCTCTGGGCCGCAGGCAAGCCCATCGAGGGCAGGGACCAGGCCTCTCCATCCTTACTCCTTCGGTTGTTGAGTCAGTGTAGATTCGTTGAGCATGTTCTCCACCCCAGGCCCTGTGTTCACAGAGTAGCGAAGGAGCCGGTATTCAGCGGCGACACGTTCTCATCGGCTGGAGACATGCCACAGTCACTTTTCTGCCCCTCCTGGCGCCTAATATGGTCCTTGGAGTAGACAACATGGATGGCGACTCTCGGTCTAATTAAACTGAATGTACTTTTCAAAAATTATTAGAATCTCTACATTCCACATAACAAACCAGGAACAATTTCTTGAATAGTGGGATTGGTGTAGAAATAGACAAATTGACTGCTGGAACAAAACAGGCCAAAAATAGACTCATACACCTATGGAAACTTGATATAGGATAGAGATGGCATTGCAGACCAGTGAGTATGAGCATGCTCTCTTTCCTTGGAGAAAAAATAATGAAACCGGATCCCTACCTCACACCATACACAGAAAGTAAATTTCAGTTGTATTAAAGACATAATATGAAAGGCAAAATTTTAGATTTTAGGGAGACTATCTTTGTGACCTCATGGTAGGAAAATATTTCATAAACAAGACACAAAAAGGACTAATTGTAAAAGATAATAAAAATAGTGAATTGGCTATTGAATTTCTTCCCCTCACAACATACCATAAAAGGCAAACCATAAAGAAATTATTCGCTCTACAAATAGGTTAGCAGGTGTTCATTTTATTATTATGCCTCATAACCTTCACAGATGTAACATAGTCTTTTTTGTGCATACAAATATTACGGAAAGAGAAAAATCTATAGTGAATTTGAGAGCGATACTGTTTTTCTCCAGTACAGTCCTTTTTTGTTTAGGAAAGGCCATCCCTGGATTACTGAATAATTGCCTTAAGTGAAGTTTCCTGACATTGCAGTCATCACACAATGTCACAATTATTTAGCTGCCCGTCCTCCCTGCTGGGCTACATAAGTCGTAAGCCCACGGAACTCTGGCTGTGACATTCGATGTCATGTCTCCATTGCTCAGCACGGTGCCTGGCATCTGGTAGGGTCTCAGTAAATATCCGGGTGATGGATATATCAGGCATGAGAAACATGTCAGTCTGTAACAAACATATCTATGCCAGTATTTCCAGGAAATTATGACTACAAACAATATTTCTATTCTCGCTCACTGATTCATTCATTTTTCTTTGACTTACATTTAGTGTGTGCCTAATCACTCTTTAAAATTTCAAAGTGGTAGTGAATTCTTAAGGGTTTTTTTGTTTGTTTATTTGCTTTTTAAGTTATTTTTCTGTGTTCTGTAACCCTCGAGAAACTGGTACCTGTCCGTGGATTTTGTAGTGGAGTCACTGCACTAAAGTTGCTATAAGAAAAATCGATGCTTCAAATATTCCTTCATTACTTGGCAGCTAATGTCTTTTAATGCCTTGAGGCTAAAGGCAGAATCAAAATTTTGTTAATTCAAGCAAATAAAATCATTCAAATTTTTGCTTCGCTGGGGTTTAGTTTAAGCTCATTTTGATCATAAAAAGGGTTGAAAGTAATGATTAAATATAACAGTCAAGTTTTCAAAACTAATTGTGATTTATTTTCCTAAATCTTAACAATTATAAAAAATTACATGAACTTTGAAAATTTTTTGAAAAACAAGTGTATTATCATTTCATTTTAGAGTGCAGATTTTAAAGTATGTTTTAAAATTTCCTTTGGGGTGTCTTTCGATCTGCCAGCATTCCATATCCAGGCAGCACTTCGAGGATTAGCTGCACTTCGAGGAGCTCTAATTCTCTAACCTGGGCCTGAATGTTACAGGGGCTCCAACACCAGGTGGCTCAGGTGGCCACCCAGGTGGAAGCTGCAAGGTTGCTAACATGCGATGCTGCTAGGCTTTTAGAAGCTGGAAGGCCATTCATAAAAGAAGCATCTTTTATGGTTCTATGGCCAAATACTACGCATCAGAAGTAAAAAAAAAAAGTGATTCAGTCTTTATTTTTTTTTTTCCGGGTATGTATGTATTATCCTTTTCCTTCAGGAAATTTGGTTGAACATTTGTTTGTTTTTTTAAGTAAAATAACATGGGTTTTTCAGTTCTGTGAGGTCTCAGTGCTTTCACAGGATCTTAAATATACACCAGGTTGCCCAGTTCGGGTAGAAGGCTCATCATCAATCGCCGGATGGGCCTCGTCTGCATTATGGCGTCACCCCTGTGGTTCCGAGTTGAGGCAGAGTGCATGCCATGGGCGATGATGTGGCATGTTTTTAATGCTTTCTGTTCTTACCTGTGCATTCTACATTTAGCTCATTAGACTTGGGCTGGAGAACTTAGCCAAATCACTGGGCTGTTGTTTCCCAGCCTCAGTAGTACGTCTTATTCATCCCGCAGCCTCAAATATTCATTTAACTTCTTCAGCCCCCAAATTTAATCTCCTGCCTCAACCTTCCTTCTGAGTGCCAGGTGAATAAAACCAATTTCCACTTGACCCGCCCACCCCATTGCACCACAAGAGTGTTTGTAATGTGATTTCAACAGGTGATTGGCTGCTCGTTTTGGGTAGATTGCAGGACTGACCTCTGCAATCTGACCACTGTGGCCTATTGAGTGGATAGGAGGTGTAGGCTACACCGAAAGTTACCCTGTGGAAAAATACTACTGAGATACGAAGATTGGTAAATAAATTTTTTTCCGTTTTATTTTGTTTTGTTTTATTTGCCTTAATTATATGTTATTATCTATTACATGTTATTGTATATTATTTGGCTATTTCATTTGGTTGATATTTATTCTTTGGTACCTGGGCAGAGGCAATTATAATCTCTCCAGAATTGTATTTAGTGGTTCTCCTTTTCTGTGGCTGGGTTTTTTGTCCCCACCTCTTCCTTCAAAAAAATGGATCTATATTTTTAAAAACACCGAATTGCCTTTTTAAATGCCTCAACAGAACTTTCAGTAAAACCGCACAAAATCTTCTGCCTTCATTTTTCTTTTACTAAAAATGTTAATATTTTTTGATGCATCTAATGCTATTCTTTGAAGCCAAAGTTCTGATTTGAGGAGCCGAGTGCCCAGTCGAGCCTGAGCATTCCGACGCTCCCCTCCCAGATGGGAGCGGCCACGTTTCTAGTTTAGGAGTGAAGACCTTCACCTGCTTAATACTGATTCCGGAACCAGAATCTAATTTCCAAATGGAAAATTATCATCTCTTTGGCAAAATTACTTTGTCAGACAGTAGCATATTCAGAGGACAAGAATCTAATTTCCAAATGGAAAATTATCATCTCTTCGGCAAAATTACTTTGTCAGTAGCATATTCAGAGGACGTGGAGTGATGTCACTAGTAACAGTTTTATAGCAAACGCAGAGGTAATGTTTGTAGAGCTATGTCTTGTGTAGATGCTTAATCGTTCCTTTTGCTCCTTTTTGTTTAAGGTACGATATATGAAGGAGCTTCAAACATCCAGCCGAACACCACTGCGAAGCACATCGATGCGGAATACCACAGGAGCAGGACCCCTCCCTGATGTCTCCGAGGGAGACGGTGGAAACCTGCTCATTCCTCAGAAGAAGACAGTAATCTGACGAGGAGGGGAGGGGTGGTTGAAATGCTCCAAAAGAGGCTTTGGACATCCTTCATTTCTGTGATTATGTGAAAGAGGTGGACTTTACAGATGATGGAGTAGAAGCCCACATTAGGAGAAAATCCCAGCTTCCTCCTGTAGAATTATAAACACGCGAATAAACTTGAAATGACAGTGAACCTCATTCATGCTCAGATTAGCAGCATTTCAGAGTCTTCTCGTCCACCTGGACCTTGAACTTATATTTAGTGTTGCTGGAGTGCTAACTGTGCGCAGATTCTTTGTGTGTCTTCGCAAAGAACAGTTGAAAATTAATTAGGTATCACAATTACCGTATGTACCTATCTTATTCTATTAGTGATTCATTGTGTAATTTTACTGTTTCCCAAGGAAGAAGATGTGGGTTTCCCCTATAATTCTTCCATTATAGCTTTTCTTAATAACCATGATTTTGGAGTCTTTAAAACCCTATCTATCTTGAGTTTGTGTCTGGTGGCGGACAAGCTCATTTTTCTCCTGAAGCCTGTCATTGTTTGTTAGTTTGAGGACTGAGCTGTCATCAGGCTCAGAAGGCAGAGACTTAAACACAAGCCCCAAGGAACCACTGACTGTATTCATGTGGGCGGAGCTGACAATATTACCCAGCTGCCCAGGTAATATTGTTAGAGATTTCATCTTACAACATGAAAATGAGTCACTGTCAAATGTTTCTAGAATCATAGAAAGTAAATCCTAGAAAGACCTTAGAGAACCATTGAGCCAACTCTCCGGTTTGGAAATGAAGAACTCCTAGCCCAGAATACTCAGCCGAGGTCATCCATCCAGGGACAAGGACCAGGCAAGAATCCAGAGGCACTGGCTTCCAGTCCAGCGCTCTTTCCACTGTTTAGCTTTGTCTCTGTTCAGCGAATCTGGGGTTTCATCCTTGTTATGTGTTTCAGTATTCTTGTTGATTTATGTTGGGTTTCACTGGTAAAAGAATTAACATTTCAGAAGTGTTAGGATGGATCGGTATCATTGTCTACATATAGAGATCACCTGCCAAAGGCACTAGCTCTCTGGGGTAGCTGGTTTGTCAAAGGTGAAGGTTCTTGTGTGTGATCAGTTCTATGGTTATGGCGTATTTTTGTAAATATACCACTTATATCCTTGCTGATCTTTCATAAAGTGAAAGTTTTGTTTTAATAAGTCAGACTGTACTCACTGTGAAAGAATTTGTATTCTATGGAGAATGAAAAAATAAAGAGCTGAGTTAACCAGAGACTTGCGACTCTGATGAAGCGAAATTGTCTGTTACACAGATGAAGCAAGAAAATAAAGTTGTCTTCCTGCAAAATGGACACGACACCTTGTTGGCCACACTGATAGTTACCTCTCGGGTAAGCCAGTTTTGTTTTTGGAGAAGAGGTCTTATGATGAAGACCAAACTTAAATTCTTGATGCTAAAGAATGTTTTAGCAGAGGATCCTTTTTTTCTGAGCAAAATAAGCAGCTCTTCAGTAGAGAGGGCACCTCTTGAGCATGTCTTTGCAGTACAGATCTTTCGGACTGATATTTATGCCTGAGCTTTATACTAGTATTACTTCTAGAAATTTTATATATTGCACCTTTCACTCAGTGATGCACTATAGTCTGGTGCCATAGGAGATTTCAGCCTATCTGTTCCCTCTTATTTTCTACATTATTTTAGAAACCTAGATATCAGTCCTTTTTTCCTTTTGTCATTCAGGAACGTGTGCCAGAAGGTCATCGTGTGTCCAAGGTGCTGTGGGCTCCGGGCTGCCCTGCAGAGACGAATGAGACCAGACCCTTTCTGAGATGTGTTCACCTCAGGTCTCCTTCTCCGTTATCCGTGCATCCTCACACAAAGATCAAGCAGAAGACTACCAAGGCCAACCCTACTTAACAGTATTTCTTTAGATCCATTAGAATAATAACAGTAAGTGTTAACTTGAGCTCTTACCATGTGCCCGCCATTATTCCATATTTTTGACATGTGTCAACTCACAACAACCCGGTGTAGTAGGTGCTCTTATTAGCTCATTTTACAGGCATGGAGATGTCGAATGAGATACTTGTTGGGGCCAGGCGGATGAAGACCCTCCCAGATTCATTCCTTTGGGTCTTTAGGGCTCATTCATTTTTAGGAGCCTTCCAATGAAACGCCACTATAACTAGCTCTTTACTAGGGAACAATACTTCAGAGGCATGTTTCAGCAGAGAAACTAGCTGTGAACAGGGCCTGCAAGACAAGTAAATAGGTGTGGGAGCAGGTGTGTTTTGGGAGAAAGAATGGAGGCGTAAGTAGATAGGGCAATGGAAAGATAGTGGGTAAGAAAAGTACTAAAAAAAGAACTAGGGAAATTTAAAAAAAAATATCTCGTTTAGAGTCATCTAAAAACGACCCTGAGGTAGGAATAATGATAAAGCATGATAAAAATCTGGGTGGCTACAAGGTGTTTGATTTGCAATTATTTGTATGGAAAGCTACAATATATATTTAAAAACCCCTAACTTTATAAATTTCTTTTTTTTAAGAAGCAATGGTAAGTTGAAAACAAGGTAGGAGCATAGCCAAACATGGTAGTACTTACAGGTATAAATGAGTTAAAATCACCTATTAAGAGATGTTAAGATGGGACAAAAGGAAAATTAAAATCCTGGCTACATAAAGTTAAAAACACCTTTTTAAAAAGCAGCACGAGAATATCGAAATAAAGAAATTGGGAAAAGACCAACAAATGCGGCAAAAAGGAAAGCAGGAATAGCAGTGTTAATATCAAAACTGAATTAAAGGCAAAAATAACTTTAAAGGACAAAACAAAAAGATTAATAAAACAGGAAGCGTTGCCCGAGAAGGTTCCAAAGCCATCAACTTTGTGTCTCTAAAACATACCTGGGAACTATACACAGCGAAACAAGGAGGAACACAGTGAAAAGCACGGACAAAGCCATCAGCGGCGCTGACTTAGAAGTCAAGTTGAGTGAAGAAAAGAACGGAGAGGATTGGACCGCATAATGGACAAGTTTGACGTGCACGCGAAGAACTTTTTTGCTTCTTTTTGAAAACAAACGAACAATCCTTAGAACTTTGCCACAGGAAATTTCTACAAACTCCAAAAAGACAGAATTTTACAGGCAACATTCACTATACACAATAAGTAAATAACACAACGAGAGGTAAAGAAAGCTAAGCATAACTTTAGATAAGTGGTTCGTATAAAAAGAAAAATATAAATTACAAATTGTCAGTGAGGTTATGGGGAGCCAGGCCCTCTCAGCGTGTCTGAGAGCGGGACGGGAAGTCGGAGTTTGTAGTAGTGAAAAATTAGAAATAGTGAATAAATCATGGAAATACTGTACAATCCTATGCAGCGACTTAAGAGAATATGGTCCACATACTGACATTAATCATCAGTAAATTATCTTGTTTTAAAAAATTACAAATTGAACAATATTTGTGCAGAACAGTAAAAACCTATGTATTTCTGTAAGTCCAAGCATATATATGAATTCTTAGAATAAATTCAGAAGGTCTGGTAGCCACACCAGTAACTACACTGGGGGCTGTGCGGGGCCAGGAAGGTAGCTGTGGGGTCCCTGGCATCGTCTATACCGTTTGAATTTTTATAATGGGATATCATAGTAGTGATGAAATGTAATAGAACCTGTGCGATTGAAAAATAAAGCTACCTATAAGGTTCCTGAAGTTTTTCACTTTTGTGCATCATTTTCCTTTAACTGATTTTTCTACTTTTCTCAAATAGCCACAGCCAAGTAGGCAGCTCCATTCAGCCACGCGGGAGACTAGGCTCTGACACAGAGATAAGCGAAAAGGGATCTGAAACCGAACCCCTCGAAGGTTCGACCTCTGTGTGTAAGCAGCGCCGACCAAGCGTCAGTGTCTGCCCCCCACGAAGCAGTGCGTGTCCTGCTTTGCCAGGCGGGGCTTCGTCAGCGGGGGCCTCTCGTACTGACCTTGGGATTAGCATGTTGTTTTTATTGTAATTTGATTTCATGTGATTTGACCTGAGATAGTCATTTGTTTCCAGCAAAAAAAGAAAATACAAAACTTCTACGCAAGTCGTAGGACCCAGATCCATTGTGGAAATTGGCTGAGCACACTGTGGCCCGTGGGCCCCTGGCTCTGTTTGTTGTCACCTGCAAACTATAATTTATTTTTACATTTTAAACGGTATATAAACATGTACACGATAGCCTCAGTTTTGCCTCTTGCCCACAAAGCCTAAAGTATTTACCGTCTGACCTTTAAGGAAGAGTTTGCCAACCCTGATTAAATGATTGCCTCTTCCATCACATTTTACTGAGAAAGTAAGTCTGTCACATGAGAGGGAGGGGGCGAGAGAGAGGGAGAGGGAGAGGGAGAGGGAGAGGCCTCCCCTAGGAACTTGGGTCATGATTCTCTGTTAACTTCATTTGTAGCCTGTGCAGCCCGATTGGCTCCCTCCTCCCATCTACACAGTGTTTCAAGTTCCTTGGAAAAAAATTCCCATGAGCCACTGCTCCACAGCACCGAGGGGCTGGGCGGGGGTCAGCACCTGTGCAGCCCCCCTCACCCTCGGCGCCTGCTCTTCTCACCTCTTTTTACCTGGACTTCACTTTTGTGAGTAGATTTAAACCGTGTTCTCAGAAGTTATCTTCTTACTCTTAGTCGGTGGCCTATTATTACATCCATTCCACGCTCTGTAGTTTAGGACACCTCTCTCCTTCAAACTCTGCCTCCTTTGCTTTCTGACGAGGCCCCTCCTCCTTTCGGCTGTGTCTTCCGGTTTCTTTTCCCTTATATCGAAATTCTACCATTTATCAAGATTATACCATCGCACCTCTTGTCTCTATTCATGTCTTCGCTGTGCTTCAGAGTAACTGAGTCTCAGAGGTGCAGACTGATGCCCCGTTGCTAGCATTTCCTAGTCGCTAAGTCTGCCCTGACCGGATGTCCAGCAGGCTCTTGGAAATTTATGTCTAAATGGACATAAATGGAAATTTATGTCTGAAATGCCAGACAGGGGCTAGGGTGGGAGACAGCGTCTTACATAATCACTAACGGCCTGAGGACAGATGAAGTCCTCAGGAAGAGACCAACAGCCATCTCTGGGCCTTTGGCCTCGTGTCACCCGGGGTCCTTATGAAAAGGCAGGTTTTCTGATGACACGGGTCAGGTCTTTGAGCCTGGGCCCTGGCAGTGCCCGTTTCAGAATCACACACTAAAACCTGAGTAGAGTTTTCAAATGATTCCAGCCCCGAAGTCCATGAGCCTTTTCAGCTTCCCCAGTGCGTTCCGGTGGGTCAGGACCCTACACACCCACCTGCTTTGGGGGCTGAGAAGCAGAGGCGGAGCGGGCAGGGGACCGTCCCTCCGTCCACTGAGGTCAGAGGTGATTCGTTCACGATGGGTCACCCACTCTCCCTCCTGACGTGCCACTGACAAGCTGCACATTCTGTTCTGATTCTGTGGAACTAAAAGCTGTCGAGGGCATCGTGTTCATTATTTTTTCACCCCGAAGCGGGAAGCTCAGTGGCGCTTGCTTTAATCAAATGTTAGTTTTATTCACAAGAGTCGAAGAAACTACTAATATGCTAATGACCTTAAATTCAGATTAAACACCTTAAAATCTAACACTTTCTCTTAGAAGAGGATATTTTTTTCCTCTTAGAGATGTAAACTAACGATGAAGAAATACCAGAGCGGGGAGGTTTTGTACTTTAGGAGGGTTCGGGAGCCCGAAGGGGGTGCGTCTGGTTGAGCGGGCAGCCCCTTCGAGTCTCGCTTTCTTTTGCACTCGGTCCTGGGACAGACCTATCACCATGTATTGTGTGTACAGTGCGTTTGCACGTTCATACCCCATCTTTCCAACTCGATCGATTTTTGCAAGTAGACAGAGACTAAGGACATGCTTATTGATTGCCGTTAAGCTCATTTTAAGTGTATTTTGTAATAAAAGGCATTTTGAGACTGAAGCAACCCTGCACTTGCCCGGTGGGGAAGAAGTCTTAGGAATTACTCAGATCGAAATGGACCAGTAGTAAAACAGTCACCAGATAAAGATGTGGGTTGTTTTTTTGTTTTTTTTTTTTGTTTTTTTAACATTATGTAAAAAAATTAGGCTCTGTTCATCTACTGTCATCATTTGGTGTGGACATTCATGTGCTGTCTTTGGGTGAACACACTTTTCACCTCATTGATCTTAAATTTATACAGATGTTTGCCTCATTCCAGCTGATGTTTTGGTCTGAAATTTT